CAGGCGCGCGCTACCACGCCCGGCTGATTTTTGATTTATGGTAGAGATGAGGTCTCGCCAGGTTGCCCAGGCGGGTCTCGAACCCGTGGGCTTAGGAAATCCACTCACCTCAGCCTCCCAAAGCGCTGGGATTACAGGCTGAGCCACCGAGCCCGGCTTCCATGTGTTTTTAAAAGAAAGAAGTAAATCTTTAAAAATGTACAGAACTTCAGGTTAAAAATTGGAAGATTTTTAAACTCACTTTTGAGATTATTTTCATAAAGTCACAGTTACCCAATTCAATGTTTTTGTATTTTCAGATCAAGCCAAATCCAACGGCTTCCAAAGAGTACTTTGAGAAGGTAAATCAGTAGATACTCCATGTGTACCTGCAACTTCTCACCCCAGAGAAGAATCACTGCTGAAACCTGCTTTTAGCATTTTGGATGATTAATTGTAGAAGGCAAGGAACTAGTTATACTTGTATTCATAACTATCACTCTAAATGTCTTATTTTTGTGAAACCACATTTAGTTTTCTGAATGTGGTTAGTTGCTAGTATAAGCAGTCCTTTATTGGTAACATCTCGATGGCTAGCTAGCCAGTTTCTATGGAATGCTAGTTCACCTATTTTTTTTTAGATCATGTCTAACATTTCTTTCTTAGCCTTACTTGTCTACACCAGAGTAGTGCAGCAAGCATTGAAAGCTTCTGATCAAGGGTCTGGAAATTTTCTTCTTGAATGTCTTTGTGTTAAACTGAATTTTATTTTAGAAAGGCAACAAATATCACAATTTTAAGTTTTAGCATCAGCAATCTGATTTAACTTTTGCATTGGATGTTTATGTGATTGAAACACATGTGAATCATGTTATTAAGAAAATATGGTGGCAGTGACTTAAATCATGCATGATACCAATCCCTGAGACTTATAGTTTACATAATTACTTATTTTATTCATCAGCTAACTTAGTGTCTATAGATATTTATAGATGAGTATAATTGACTATAAATGATATTTATTGAATCTAGGGATTGCATTTTGAAATTATCACAATTATTTTCTTTGTTGAAATGTTTAATATAAAATATATAATAAAAATGAACATTTTAAAAATATTTGCATTTAGCACCATTTGTTGAATCAACTTATTCTGGGACTTGACTTTTCTTTTTCTGATTATATCAACAAACCTTTATTGGTTCCTTACCTTTGGGTCATAAAGATGAATTAGGTGTTGACTCCACACTCAAGGAATTCAGCTTATGGGGCAAGACAGATATGGAAACATTACTCATGATTTCAGTAAATTTTTGGGTGCCTACTATGTGCCAGGCACTGTTTGGGAGGCACAAGAGTGAACAAAGAGACAAACCCCTGTCTCAAGGTTGTGAGGCTCAAAGAGAAAACATGTAGAAAGTGAGGGAGTTAGGGGGATAAGGGACTTCAGGCAGACTGTGTGGCAATTGCAAAGGCCCTGAGACAGGAGCAGGCTTGGGTGTGGATGCAGAATTTCTAGGATGCTATGTGCTGTAGTGATGAACAGGATTTAGGGCTCCATTCTGACATGGGAAATGTCAGGAAGGTTTCTGAAGAGTGGCAGCGACTTGTTCTAAGAGGATTGCTGCGGCTTCTTTGTTAAGACTGGATAGTAGGGGTCCAAAGAGGCCATGCTGGCTTTGTGACCTACTAGAGGGTAGAGCTGACAGAATGGTACAGTATGCTCAATGCTGCACCATGGTGCAGTAGATGGATCTTTGTGGCAAAATGGGAACACTGAGGAGGGGGCAACTTACTCAGGTATGGGAGTCAGGGAAGGCTTCCTAGAGGAGATGAACTGGAAGGCTAGAAAAGTGGGCCTCAGGTGATCTGAGCAAATACGGGAGTGGGGAGTTGACAGGCCTGAAGAAGCTGAGGAGAACCCTGAGCTGCTTTCCTGTTCCCCGGAGGGCACTGTGCTGCTGGATGTTTATGGCCGATGCAGAGCACTTCCCACCCCGCCTAGGGCTGAGTGGGGCACCTGTGTTTTATTTGCTAAACAAACCCTGAGATAGGTACAGTTGTTATCCTCATTTTACAGATGAGTAAATAGACTTGGAGATCCCGACTTGGTGTGCTGGGTTGCCCAGCCCAGGTCTCCGGAGGCCCCCGGCATACCTAAACACATTTTCAGCTTCCATGTATTCAAGTGCCACCCACAGTGCTGGGGGAAGGGGTGGCAGAGGAAGGGAAGGCAGCCTTCTTTTTTCTAGCCTTGGTCCCTTCTTGATACCGTATTTTAACAAAAGGAATTGTACTTGCCCCAACGATGGAGAATGGCATAGTGTGCTGTGCCCGGGGCCCCACGCTTGGCTCAATGCCCAGCTGCTGCCTTTTGAAATTCTCAATACTTAACAAGGAGCCCTGCATTTTTCCATTTTCACTGGGCCGTGCAAATTACGTAGCCGGCCCTGTCTATCCCTGACACCGTGTACGCTGCACTTCCAAGCCCTTCGAAGGGACTTTGCAGGGCCATGCCCACGGCTGAGGCGCGGCGGGAGCGCAGGGCAAGGCTGTGGAGGACCCTGCCCCCGCACAGGGCCTTCGCAGTGGGTCCCGTGAGGCGGGTACCGATAGGGGACCCCTCGGGGCCTGGAGGCGACCCGGCTCCCGTAAGGTGCGCGGCAGGGCAGAACGGGCTCGGGAAGACTTGGCCCGCAGAGAGGCGTGCCCGCCG